ATGCTGAAGCTGAAGTCCCAATACTTTGGCCACCTGATGCAAAGAGCCAACTAACTGGAAAAGACCCTGATGCTGGGAAAGATTGAGGGCAGGAGAAGGGGGTGACAGAGGATGAGATGGTTGGATGGCATCACTGACTCAACAGACATGAGTGTGAGCAGACTCCAGTCGATAATGAAGGACAGGAAAGCCTGGCCTGCTGCAGTCTAAGGGGTCGCAGAGAGTCAGACACAACTGAGCAACTGAATAACAACAAAAGTAAATATTATCAAAAGCAACCAGAGAGAGAGAGATTTTCCAAGGCTGGCATGTGCCTAGGAAACTAAGAGACACTACCTTTTCTGTAAGGGTAAACTGAGGTTTTTCAAGAGTATGGAGGGAAAGCAGCAACAGGGGATTCTTTAGATTAAGAGCCCAGGGCTTAAAGTGTTATTCAAATACAGTTCAACCACTATCAAAAATCACACCCAAATCAAACTGTCCAACCAACTCTCTGTTAAAGCCCATCTGCTGCAAAAAAAAAAAAAACCAAAAAATCTTACCAGAATATTTGTGATATATTTTGGATCCAGTTGATAACGACTTGTGATTACCTCCTTGAGTGCACTGTAAATAAAAAAATTATGCCATTTTGCAACTATCATGAAAATAATTCATATTCCAAAAATAATTATACTGATGCACAACTGTTGAGTTCTAGTTTTACTAGAAACAGGACATTTACACAGTATCCAAGTACCTGCCCCCAGATTATATTAATTAAAAACAGAGAAATGGTAAGTCCACAGTGGAGAAACCTGGTGGACACCAGCCTGACCACAGTTAACATCACTAGTGAAGGCACAAGCTGACCTCGTGTGCCTCCCAGTGTGAAGTACTGAGAGGGACACAAGGTCATTGTAAGTAGTTTTTTTGTCAAAAATGCATTACTTGTATTTAATTATGAGGAAACATTAGACCAATCCAAAACTGAAGGACAGTCTATAAAATAATTTGCCCATACTCTTCAAAAATATGTCATGGTTTATAATTTAAACATTAATTAACTTTTTCAATTTTATTGGAAAAACAAAGAAAGGCCAAGGCAGTGTTCCATATTTAAAGAGACTGAACAGTCATAACAACTAAATGCATGATCATAGTCTGGGTTCTAGGTTAGAGGGGAAAAATTTGCCACAAAAAATATTGGGAAAACTGGAACAATGTGGTTTAATGTTGAATTTGATAACTGCACAGTGATTATGTAAGAGAATACCTTTTTTTTCTAGGAAAAGATACACTATAGTATTTAGGAATCAGGATGCATGTTATCTAGAACTTGCTCTCAAATGGTTCTGCAGAAATAATATTGATACATGCTCAGATAGATACAGAAAGTACACACACACATGCGTACTCATATAAAATACGGCAAAATCTTCACTGGTGAATCTGAGCAAAGGTTACTATATACGAATCTGTACAATTCTTGTACCTCTATCTTTTAAAGTTAAAAAATATTATTTATCTTATTTTTCAGAAATGTGAAAAAGCGATGAGACTTTAATTTATCTAATGGTGTAAGATGGAAGATTTGAGTGCCAACTGTACAAATATAATGCATTTACTTTTTTATTATTTATTTATTTATTTTTTAAAATAATGCATTTAACAGCACTTACGACTGCAAACTTTGAAGATCATAAGGTTTTTCCCTTGTTTTGTGTTTTAGTTCAATGATGATCCAGCTATAAAGTAAAGAGACAGTATTGATTAAACATAACAACTCTACCTTTTATTATTACCTTTTATTATTTTCTTAATAAACTAATAAAAATATTCGCACAGGGAATTACAAGGAAATTAACAGAAAAAGGATCTATACTATAGATATGCCTTCCATTTCTTCCTTGGCCCTCGGATATTGTTTATAAAGAACTCAGCCATTCTAACATGGACCTTCTGGCCACCACAGTCAAGATCACATAAAGCCAAGGCTTAGCTGGTCCTGCTGGGCCACCTTCAAGTGAAAAGACAAAAAGGCACTGAGAGAAAAAGAAAAGTGGCCACAGGCCTCCAGAAGACAGAAGTGGAGAGAGTGCCTGCCATGGCTGTGATCACTTTTTAGTCTCAGTCTCTTCCAATAAAATCTTTTTGGCTTAAACTAGCTGGAGTGTGTTTCCATTCCTCTTCATTACATAACCCCTAAAACAACCGTATCTCACTTTAAAATACAATAAATAAGCAAATATGTGAGTAGCGTAAGTTGTTTATGTACAGTGAACAGCAATCCAACTTTAAAATACTGAACAGTGTTCAGTAAAAATATACAAGCAAAAGGAAAAACATTTAAAAATAAGATATAATACATTGCTAGTAAATTCACAGAAGATCTCTGGAAGGTTATGGCATGTGACATCAATTCTACAGAAGTAAACTGAGCAACTAGGGGGTTGAGACGGAATAGGATTGAGATGGGATTGTCACTGTCCACTCTTTTCTATCTTTTGAATTCTAAATCACAAAATCATGTTACATATTCAAAAGTACATTTAATTAAATGAATTCAAAAAGCATGAAAACAAGTAATATAGAGGCAGCCCAACTCACTAGGTTCTCACTGGCTCGGAGCAGGAGATTTCACTGTCCTTATCAGTTCTTCGGACCCCAGCAGTGTTCACACACCAGCATGTGGAGGTGCCGTTGCACTGCTTGGCTTTAAAGAGCCCCTTGTCGTCACACTCAGGATCATAGAGCCCGTCATTATTCTGGATGGCGCCCTCTGGTTTCCGTCTTCTCCCGGACTTTGAGTGACTCATTTCTGCCTTCATCACCAAGCATTTAGCAGCCACTGAAAGGAAAGTGTCATGCAAACTGAAAAATAACTGCAGTTTTGTGTTTAAGGAAAAAATTTAATTTACTCCAAATTCCCAGGGCCAAAGATTATTACAGATTTTATAAGTTTTCACGTTCACTTTCTAAATCATAAGAAACTTCAAAGATGATATAATGTTGACAAAATAGCATGATTCAGATTTGAGCCAATTAAACACTTCCAACTCAAGATTTATCAATTAAAGAAGTATAAATCAAATAAAACTTAAAGGCAATGAGGATATTCTACTCACATTTTGTGCAAATGATGGAATGTTGTGTACCGGCTGAAATACACTGGCACTGACCGTACGCATTCACAGAGCAGTTTGTGGTCAGTTTGTAGCTTTCACACACACATCCTGGTGGGGGGAAAAATCCACTTTAAAAATGAGGATGTAACTATCAACTCTGATGCTGAATCCCCAAGTTACAGGACACACAGCCTTAAAGAGTGGTCCTGAATGTTCAACTTTTCAGCTACAATTGAAGTGGCTGACACAATGCTAAATAGGCAGTCTAATTTGCATGCTTTCCTACGTTGCTTTTTTAAACCAAGAATAAACTCTCCAAACACCAGATTCAGCTTTGCCTTCATGATACTCCCAGACTCAGCTTCTTCCCTCCTGTCCTGCTGAACACTCACCTGCCGGTCATGACTCTCTGCTTCAAAATCAACAACACACTACTATATATAAAATAATCAGTAAGGACCTACTGTATAGTACAGGAACTCTACTCAGAATTTTTTAATAACCTATATGGGAAAATAATCTGAAAAAAATGAACATATGTTCCTGTATAACTGAACCACTTTGCTATATACCTGACACTAATATGTTATAAATCAACTAGATCCCAATATAAAATAAAAATTAAGTTAAAAATGCCAATTCTAGGATCTGTGAATAACTCACATTTCTTCCTTCTTCCCACCCTTTAATTAATAAGAGATACTTCTTTTGAGACTTAATGGAAACGTACTCAATCCTTGGATAATTTTGTGTCTTGGAAAAATTATACTTTCAATTGAATTGGGAGGTACCTCTTTCCTAACTAAATTAAATCCTAGTACCTGATTTTGAAAGTGCTATTAAGCAGTCCATCCTGGTTATTGATGTCAGTTTAATAGTTATATCTTTGACTATCTCAAAAGTTCATTTTAACTTCAAATTGACAAGTCCATTTAATTTCTTTAATTAGTCTAGATAAGAGTGCAAGCATTATAAACACTAACTTTAACAGGCTGAAGAACTGATATATTGAAACTTCATATCTCAAGTTGGCCTTAATTTTTCCCTGTTTAAATTATAATCAGTATGAACCACCTATATAATTTGTCCATCACTAAACTCAGTATTGGGGTCACAAAAAGAAAAAGTCTAGTGACTGTCCTCAAGGAATTAAAAATCTTACACTGCACTATGCTATATACCTGCTTAGAGAACAAAGTTATGCCTAAACATCGTGAAATTTAAAAATGACAATCAGGTACACACTTTCTGAACATAACTCCGACAGCAGCTATTATCACTTTAAAGCAATTTGTTTTGGTCCTGCCGCAGGCCATGTGGAATCTTAGTTCCCCAACCAGAGGTCCTACCCAGTGCCTTCTGCAGTGGAAGCACTGAGTCTTAAATCGCTGGACCGCCAGGGAATTCCCATTTTAAAGCTATTTAAAATTAAATATTTAGCCTCAGACTGAAGTTGAAATAACATGAGTTGATTAAACTGCATTATTTTGAAACTGTAATGAATTATGCCGAACCCTGTTGGTGAGACTATAAAAATAAAAGCCTTTCAGAAAGCTGGTTAAACGACACCTCACTGCTAGCCACCACCTTACAAATAAATCAAGAGATGGCGGCCAAGATGTTTATTCCAGAGTAAGAAAACCTGGAATCAAATTACACGTCCAAGATTAGAATAATGATGCGACCTTCCAGGCTGCAGATTGTTTTATATCATTTAAATCGTGTTTTTCAAGACTAAAGGAAACGGAAAACTGAATACAATGTGGGGGGCGAGGATGGCGGGGATCAAGACCTAAAACAACGTGTTTAGGTTTAGGGTAATGTTTAGAGCAAAGTCTGAAAGAAAAATATATCTGATTATTAATTACAGGCTTCTTTTAAGATGGTGGCAATTATTGTTGTTTTTTAAAAACTCTTTACGGTTATCGATATAACTGGGTTTCCTACAATAAACTTGACATTACTTATATAATCCTTAAAGAGAAAATATCCATACACCGGGCAGTCAAGGCCCAGGAGGACGCCCCGTCCCCCTCTTCCCCCGCCCCCCAGCACAGGTGCACAGCGGCCCCAGAGGCCTCGCCGCAGTCACCGGTCCCCGCCAGAGACACATCCGGGGCCCGCCGCAGGTGCCCAGGGAGGGGCGGGGCCGAAGGTCGTCGTCGCAGAGTCCCCTCCCGGCCCGGGCAAGTTTCCGCCTCGACAAAACCTCCAGGGCGCAGGGGCCGGAGGTGGGCGCGCCGAGGCGGCGGCTAAAGCGGCTACTCAGTTCCCTACCGGTGCCTCCGCCCCTGCCTGAGCCATTTTCCCAGAGAGGCGAGCAGAGCGCCAAGCGAGGCCGCTCCCTCCCGCCGAGCGAGTGAGCGCCTTCCCGCCACCTCCCAGCCTCAGGGGGCCTGGGCAGCCCCGCGCCGTCCATCTCCAGGCGGGAAAGCGCGGCTCCTTCCCCGCAGTCTACATCTAGGGCACCGAGGACCGCCACCACCACCGCCCCGCCCCGCCCCCCGGTCCTCCTCACCCCACGACTCCGCTCCTCACCTTGCTGGGCTGCGGCCACAGCCGCCGTCGCCGCGGCGACCAGGAGCCCGAAAGCGAGGGCCTGGCGGAGCGCCATGCTGTGCGCGCCGAGGACTAGGGCGCTAGAGCGCGAGGGCGCCAGGCAGGTCGAGGGCTGGCGCTAGGACGAGCGGACAGAGTAGGTCGTCGCTAGCCACTGACCGGCCGGACGGCGTGAGGCGTGGGACGCGCGGCTTAGCGTCGAGAGGACTACAGCGAGGTGTTCGAGGATTCGATGACGGTGCTAGCTGGCCGACGGACTGCGCGATTTGGGCGCGCGGTAGAGCGGAGCAGACCTGCTCGACCTGGCGGCCCCGCCCCCGGCCCCGCCCCGGTCCCTGCCGGCGGCCGCTCACCTCCGCAGGCCGGTTCTCCGCGTCGTACCCGCCGGGGGGCGGGGGCGGGGAACAGGATCCCCTCCCCCACCCGGGACGCGGCCGTGGGATACCACCCTCTTCCCGAGACGCGCCTGGTTCGCCCTGTCCCCGCCGCCTCCAGGTGCCTCCTCCCGCCGCGGCCGGTGAGGTGGGACGGGTGGGACCCTGGAGGAAGTTGGAAAATACTGACCCTTCTTTATCACCAGTGAGAGCACCACTCTGAAACCTCGAAGAAATGGAGTCTGGAGGAAAGAGTCAGGGGGCAGGGAGGAGGAAGGTGGACGGTGAAATGGAATACAAAGAGAAGCGGGCCAACTGTCCCAACCTCCGTAAAAATAGACCTCTGTCTTTACCTGGCGGTTTAATTGTAGGCCTGTGAAACGAAAAAAAGAAAAGCAAATCTCCCTAGCTCTCAGGATGACAAACGCGTGTTCCTTATCATTATTCTCAATGTCTTTTCCATTTCTTATAAGCCTTTTTTAGCATTTGAAGGTTTAAGAGAAGGTGTTCCCATAGAGGGGAATGCTGGAAACTGAAATTATCTGGTTGATTAATATTAGAGAACAATGCTGATAAGTATTGCGAGAATATAAAGAAGTAGAAACAAAGAACAATTATTTCAGCGCAAATGAATTAAAATCACAACAGGCTGTTGTTACACTCAATTGTTGTGATGTGAAACTTTTAATAACTATTAAAGTATTAAGTGTATTTAATGTTATTTTTGTTAGCTGCAATATCATTATGACCTATTTTTAAGTCTTTTTTCCAGCTTAAATTATCGAAGAGTTCAAAAGAGGAAAAGTGAAAAGGCAATTTAAAGATTCAGCTAATTTTGATTAATTTTTAAAGTTTTGATTAATTTTTACAAATATATATAAAATCATGGATTATGCTTTTATTGAGCAATAGTTTAAGTGTGTTGTGAGCCTGGTGGGCTACAGTCCTTAGGGTCACAAGAGTTGGACAAGGCTTAGGGACTAAACAATAACTCTCCTAACTCTCCCAATGTAAATAATTACATTGTTGAAGTAATACCAATATAATGTGAATTTTACTGGGATATTAAGTTATTTAATTATTTGATTATTGACATCTTAAGGAAATCCTATCAGTGTTTTAAATCTGAAAATCTGAACTAGACCTGAGTTCTGGAACTTTGTGATCTTTCAAAAATTTCTTCAAATGAAGACTGTTAGTATCAAATCAGGAACAACTGTCAACCAGATTTTTGTTATCTTCTGCATTTGGGATGTTTCAGGAAGTTACACACTGCCAGCCCCCAAACTATACACACACGTTTCCCAAGAATAACTGGTTATTGTGGCTTTGTTTGCAAAATAATCCATTGCCAAGTCTGAATCTGTTATCTATCTAATCCAGAAAAATCAAATCTTTTAATAACTTGACAGCTCTTTATTAAATGTTCATTTCATTAATGTGAATTGAGTAAACATGACTATTAAATAAATGACAAAATACCACAGTAATCTGACTTGTAGTATTTGAGTATACATCCAAGATATTGTTTCTTTTTATGGCTCTTTAACACATTCTCAATTTGTCACTGCTCAAAATTGCTCTCATTTTGTACTTTTTGAATCTTTCGTAGCTTCAGTGCTGTATTTAAGAACATTTCTTAATAGTTTCATACACAAGCATACTCTTTAAATTATTCTTAAGTTTTACAGGTGTTGCTTTTTAATTTTCACAGTAGTCAGTTTGATACCTAATATTTGACTAAGAAAAATATGACTATTAAAATTTGTATCTAAACTTTTCTGACAAAACTCACAGCCCATCAGTTAAGAATCCAATTAAAAAACCAACGTCAAAGACAAAGAATGGATAGAAAAAGAAACTGGTTAAGGAAGATATAATGGGTAGTGCAAAATATTTCTATGATAGGGATTTGGGTTGTGACTTTCCCTTAAAATAAAAAAGATAACGTTAAATATAGTTTTGGAGAAAAGTTAGTATCCTGTTCTTTAAAAACAAGGGAAAGAAAATTAAGAAAATTACTCATTTTATAAGAAAATTACTCATTTTATACTTAATATTCTATAGTACAGTTTCTTCACAGAGATTTTAGAGTGTGTGTGTGTAAAATTTAATGAAACCTAAAATGGGATGAATTTTCCTTGTAGATGGCTAGTGCAGGGGTCTCCAACCTCCAGGATCTCATGCCTGGTGATCTAAGGTGCAGCTGATGTAATAATAATAGAAATAAAGTGCACAATAAATGTAACACACTTGAATCATCGAGAAACTACACCCCCACCCCTGTCAGTGGAAAAATTTTCTTTCATGAAACCAGTGTCTGGTGCCAAAGAGGTTAGGGACTGCTGAGCTAGAGGAAAGTGTAATGTGTAGATATTTGCTATAAAGGGCTATTAATTCTAAAAATTTTAGTTATTTCATGAGCAATACATTAGTAGAAAGCAAAAATACATGACATAGAATGAAGAATGAAAAAAAAAAAAAAAGAATGAAGAATGAAAGCTTTTTGTGACCACTCATCAGCAAATCCCTCCTAGATAATACTCATTAACAGTCTGGTAGTCATGTAACTGAACACAGCAATTCATACAACTGTATTCTTGATACATTACTTCTCACATATACTAAAGAACCTGGTTTCATAGAATGTACTCTGCAGGATAGAGGATATTACTTAGTTTGGTTTAGGTTTATAAAAATAGTCTGTATAATTCAGAGTCCACCTTAATACATATAATTTTTTGTGTATAATTTTGACCAAGTGTCATTATATTTGTCATTTAAAAAATTGACTTTGTCGCCAAAGCAGAACACTTGACCCCTAGTCGTAAAGCCCTTTCCATGTCTTTCTACCCTTGAAATCATTTTATAAAATATAAAACACTACATGATAAGTACTTAGTACACTATTTAGTGGGCTACCCAGGTGGAGCAGTGGTAAAGAATCTGCCTGCCACTGCAGGAGATGAAGGTTTGATCCTTGGGTCGGAAAGATACCCTGGAGAAGGAAATAGCAACCCACTCCAGTATTCTTGTCTGGGAAATCCTGTGGACAGAGGAGCCTGGCTGGCTACAGTCCAGGGGATCGCAAAGAGTTGGACGTGACTGAGTATACATGCCTGCTATTGAGTACATTAATATGTAGATGTTTATTAAGTGGTATGTGACTTCGGCCAGGAATTCACTGGCTGTCCAGTGTTTATGACTCCATGCTTCCACTGCAGAGAGCATGGGTTCAATCCCTGGTCGGAGAACTAAGATTCCACAAGCTGCATGGCACAGCCAAAAAATATAAAATACAATAAAATAAAATGCAATCCCTGCTCCCTCCAAATGAAATCCCAACTCTGACTTTTTCTAGGATAAATTAGTTTGCCTAGTCTAGCACTCAAGGCCGGTTTCATGGACATGCAACCTGCACAGTCACATAGGACCCCATGCTTACTTAGAAGGGCCCTACACTTGGTATAGTGCCCTACCATAACAGTCTTGAAATTCTTAATATTTTAATAAGGTATCCATATTTTCATTTTGTACTGGGCTCTGGAAGTTATATAGTCAACACAATGTGAGAAATAGGGTAGTAAAATGAGAGACATGAGGGTTCAAGGAAAGATCTTATAAATGTGAAGGATAATACAACATGTTTATGTGGTGATGGAAATGATCCAGAAGAAGGGAAGATTGATGAAGCAGAGATGGGAAATTAACTGGAGGAGGGACAATGTTGAGAAAGGGAGAGAAGAGGGAGGATGGCACCCAGAGTGGAGGGTGAGCCCTTGAGACCAGCAGGGACAGGCTTCCTACCATAACAGAAGAATAGAGAGTAGAAAGTGCAGTCGCTCAGTCGTGACCAACTCTTTGCGACCCCATGGACTGTAGCCTACCAGCTTCCTCCGTCCATGGGATTTTCCAGGCAAGAGTACTGGAGTGGGTTACCATTTCATTCTCCAGGAGATCTTCCCGATCCAGGGATTGAACTTGAGTCTCCCGCATTTCCGGCAGATGCTTTACCATCTGCGCCACCAGGGAGGCCCAACAGAAGGACAGAAGCAGATGCTAACGAGGTAGTGGAGAATGAAACAGTTCTGACACTTTTATGTTATCAAAGATGTATGAAGTGAGGTCACCATCTGCAAGAAGAGTGTGAAGGTGAGGAAATATGAATTATTTTTTAAATATTTATTTATTTAGCTGGGTCAGGCCTTAGTTGCAGCACAGCAGATCTTTGATCTTCCTTGTGGGAAGAATCAGCATGTGGGATCTAGTTCTCTGACCAGGGATCCAACTCAAGCCCTCTGCATTGGGAGTGTGGAGTCTCAGCCACTGGGACACCAGGAAGCTCCCCCAAGAGTTATTTTAAATTTTATTCTGAAACTTTAGATTTTACAGAAGAGTTGAAAATATGGTATAAAGTTCTCATGTGTCCTTTACCCAATATCCTCTAGTGTTAGCATCTGACATAACCATACGAACTTAATGCTGATACAACATATTGACTAAGCTGTTGACTTTACCGGGAATTTCCCAGTTTTCCCACTAGTGATCTTTCACTGTTCCAGGATTCAATCCAAGATTCTGTATTGCATTTAGGCATCATATCTCCTTAGTGTCCACCAATCTATGATAATTTCTAAGTCTTCCCTTTTCACTCATGACCTTGACACTTTTGAAAAGTATTTTGTACAGTATAGTTTTGGTGGAATGTCCCTCAGTTGGGGTTTGTTGGATGTTTTCTTGTGAGTGGAGAGAGTTATGCATTTGGGGAGGTAAAATGTCACAGAAGTGTTACACCCTTTTCATTGAATCATGTCAGAGGGTATATGATATCAATATGATTTATCACTTGGATACTTTATTACTTGAATTCGTTGTATCACTTGTATATGGTGGTGTTGCCAGGTTTTCCCACTGTGAAGTTGTTTTATTTCCATTTTCATAATCTTCAT